AAAAAAAAAAAAAGGAGGAGGAGGGGAAGAGAAAGTCTTGAACGGTCTAGGTGGGGGGGCGGTTTCATGGTGCACCCCGCGCCTGCGGACACTGTGCGGGCTGCGGCCCTTCTGCGGGGACCGAGCGGGGGCCCTGGGACGGCCGGGCCCTCATGGCCGCGATCCTTAGCTACCGAGCTCCTGTTCCTTGTATTTTCCCCCTTTTTATACACGCACATATATCTATATTGCCCGCCACTCGCTGGGGAGATGATTTTCTTTCCACTCTCGAGTTTTCCTCTACATTTAAAGGAAAACTCCCCTTAAAAAAAAAAAGTTATTATTATTTTATTTTATAAGAATAGCTTTTTAATGTTGTTGTAGGGAGCTCCATTTCAGAGCATTCTCAAGTACTTAAAAACAATATTGTCTTCATATAGTTGGCCTTGAAGAATGTATCCCCTTCTTTGAAACATACAAGAGATTTTTTTAAGCTACCGAAACTCCAAACTCCTTAAAACCAAAAAAGAACTAGCAGATAATTCAGAAGCTTTTATCGTATTTTGCTGTTTGGAAACTTCTACTGTTTCTGATAGACTAAGAGCTTGTAAAACTACATTAAAAATAGCGTCTTCGAAACTCACTGTTGTTACTTGCATCAGATGAAAGGCCCTCGCTGCATTTTTAAGCTTGTTTTCTCGGCTAGCGCAATTTTACTCTGCTCTTACGGCTCGGACCGGCTCAGCGCCAGTGCAAAGCCCGCATCCTGCTCCGTGCTGCACGTTACCTTGCACAATATCGCCACTGACTGATTTATTTGCATTTTATTTTTTATCGTCTCGTCCACGCAGCGCTGCTGGACGCGCATCCTCCAAAAGGCTGGGGCAGTGGGGGAGCAGAGAAAGCGCTTCTGCCGCAGAAATGCCGCTCTTCCAGGGGATGCAAATGGCCAAGAAAGAAGTTTATTTTTTTTTCCTCTGAAAATACGGTTATACAATCTGCGTCACGTGTCGCCAGCATTCGCCCGCCTGAGAGCGGGAGGTGCAAGTGGCCACCTCCCTCGGAGGAATGGGGATGTAGGAATGGGGATGTTGGAATGGGGAGCTCGGCTGCAGCGAGCCCGKCCTCGGCCCTACCGGTGTCCGGGGCTGCCCGTTCCCCCCGCCCCGCCCGCGACGCTGCCCCTCGAGGGTCAGCGGTGTGATGAGTTGCTCGGTGCACGCCCAGGCTGCCCCCAGTCCCCTCTTTTGCCCGGTGCTGCCAGCCAGGCCTCGCTCCGGGAGGGCAGCCGAAATCCGCTGTTTACCTTTTGCGAAAGATGCATTTAATAATACCGCCCCCCCCCCTCCCTTCCCCCACCCCAAATCCTATCATCCCTTGCGGGCCACGATAATAAATAAAAGTCTTTATTTCTCCCTCGCCCAAAGTTAAAGGGCCTCGCTCCCTCCCCGGGCAGCTGGAAGTGAGTTGCAGGCAGGGAGAGCTGCGGCCACATCCAGGCTCCTTCTCTCCCCGCACACATGTATAGATATATTTTATTAAACGTCAGCGTTGACTTATATGTCTCTTATCTGTGCTCTCTCCCCGATGTGTGCCTGCAGTGGGGGATTCGGCGAAGGAAGCTCGTAACATGGCGGATAGCGAGGAAGGCTTCGGGCTCCCCACTACGCCGGCCGACTCGGAGGCCAAGGAGCTGCAGGCTGAAGCCAAGCAGGACACGCAGCTGGGGGCCACCAGCAAGTCCCCCACCTCTCCGCAGGCAGCCTTCACCCAGCAGGTAAATATGCTCCTCTTCCTCACGCCCTCGCTTTTTCGCCCCTTTCTCCGGAATATTTCCATCTCCTCCAGTATCTGCTCAGCTCTGGCCCTGCTGCGGGCAAAGCTGAAGCACTTTAGGCCCCAGGGGACCCGAGGATCCTACCTGCTTGGTAGCCCTGTCCGGCTTTAGCGCTCCCCATGGAAGGGGGCACCCCTGCCCGTGCTGGGAGATGCGGCACGCGTGAGTCTGGATGTGTGGGGAATGGCCAGCTCTCGAAATGCGGGAAACGCGAGAATACCCAACCGCATCCGTGTATGTCGAGATGCATACATATATATTTACCTCCATCATCATGACCGCCTGCGTGTGTCTCTATAAGGCCCAAACGTGAATGCTTGCTGTATGCACGCACACACCGATATTTACACGCGGAGAGGTCCGGCCGCAGCTGCTGCCGCTGTCACGCGTGGGCACCTCCCACAGGCGCGGGGCCTGGCCGCCTCCCAGCCCCCTTATGCGGGGAGTGGGTGTCTCCCGCACTTTCCAGCCGCACTGTACCCCTGCAGTGGTACGTGCTCCTAGGGGACACGCGTGGGCTCCCACGCGGCAGCCCCGGTTGTTGAGGAACGGAGGCCAGGACTGCAACGCGGCCCTTCTGCCCGACTCCGCGGCTCGGAGCGGCCCYGGCAGCGGCTTTTCCACGGCTGCGGAGCGTGGGGCGCCGCGGGTAAAATCCTGCGCGGAGAGATTTTCTTGCAGGTAAATTCTCCGGAGGAAAACGCAGCTCGGGAGAGCCTCGCGTGGCCCGTGTCGGTGTGCATAGGGCCGCGGTGGGTGTCGGGGCTTTTGCGCGTGGCGTGGACGGCTTCGAAACGGAGCCGCGATGCATTGAGGCCGTGGRGTCTAGCTCGATGTTTGGCCAGAGGCTGCGGCGAGGGGCGAGGAACTATTTTGTTTTGTGGGCAAGGGAGGCCCGCTTGGTTTTGCGGGTGCTGGTTGCGGAGGGTTCAAGGAAAAGTGCGCTATTGTGAGCGCTTATTTGTGACAGGATTTCCCTGCGCGATAATCGCCGACACAACAATCCTAGGAGATCAGCTGCTTCTGGGGTGCGGGCTGAGGGGTTTGTAAAAACGGCTGTGCACAGGCAGCGGCCATCGCCTCCATAAACACGGCTGCATGGGACCCATTTTTTCCCTCACATCCTGGAGAAATAGGAGAGGCAGTGGGGGTAAATCATCCATTGGAGGAGTGTAAATCCCCTGCAGCTGCCTCTTGAAAGCAGCTGAGGATCCGGCCTGAAGCACAGGGGTATTTCTCCCAGTAGCACGGCTGGGTGGGGACTGTAGGGGTTTGGAGTTGGCCCAGGCCTCAGCGGGTGGCCCCTGTCCCTTGCCTCCCAGGGAGTTTCGAGGGCCTCGGGATCTGACGCCAGAGCCCCTTGACTCGGTATCCGAGGCCTGAGCTCCTGTTCCTGGTCTAGCTTTGTAATTTCTCGGTGAAAGCAGCAGGTTTTCCCCGGGAATCGCTGAAGCCAGGGCCATTGCCGGGAAACTCGGCTCGACTGATGCTTCATCTTCCTCCCTTGCAGGGTATGGAGGGGATCAAGGTGTTTCTGCACGAGCGGGAGCTATGGCTGAAATTTCACGAGGTGGGCACGGAGATGATCATCACCAAGGCTGGAAGGTGAGAAACGCAGCGGCGCGGAGCCTCCTCCCGGGATTAAGGCGATCCAAGCGCTGTGCGTTCTTCTTCGTGTCCCGTTTCCCGCGGGTGGGCCTGGAACCTGCCGCGAGCCTGGGGACACGCGTGGCTCTATGCGTGGCCGCAAACAAGGCACCCACAAGGGCTCTGTCCCTGGCGCCGCTTTGCTCGCGTCCTCCGCGCGCTCGCCCGCGGCTCTTTCCGCGGCGGGCTCCGCGCTGCGCGGATACGCTCAGGGGAGACCATTTCTTCTGGCTTCTTTCTTAACCAGAATAGTTGGATCCTTAATTCCAATTTCAGGCCGTTGGAAGCTTTCCAGGCAGGCACTCGCTGCAGCCGCTTGGCCAAGCGCTAACCGTGTTTAGAGCCGTTCGCGGGGCGATGTCTTTATTATTATTTTAATTAAAGGTGCAGCTCTGTCTTGTTACCCTTTTACTTTTCCTTTTTAAATATATATAATGCCACCCTTTCTTTGTAGGGGTTTCTTGTTTACTACGAGCACATAGAGGCGAATATATCCCGAACGCCCACGCTCCTTCTATTAAAAGTATATGTGGTCCTAAGCTACTGTTTATATTCTGATAGTATAGCTCGTTAGCTACGCAGATAGATGTATCCGCAAATAAATAGCATGCGTATCTAACTGTGGCCAGATATCCTTTCCTATATGTGTGTGTTTGTCTGCGTGGGTGTGTAGAAAAATATACAGCCTTGCAAATCCAACTTTATTGGGGCTGTGTGTAATCGATTCCATAACTGGCTTAGTAAATGTGATCCATAGCTATTTATATAAGATGCTTTTGCGTGCATTTGAGGCAGTTTAACGTGATCCTTTATTTAATATGTCGGAGGACTGTTAAATAGAAAAGTGCCTAAGCCAGTGAGCCCCAGCAAAAGAGGTTCTCAGGTCCAGGCAGTAAACTCCGAGCAACCTGAGAGAGGCTATTTTCATCGCSATTTTTAAGTTAAATTAAATATCTGCCCTATGCAAGGGGTCCTCAGAGGAAGCAGGGGTGGTGGAAATCTCCCCGTACAGAAATAATAGTAACTTAGCTTGTAAGGGCACAATAAACAATGCAGAGTCAGGCTTTCATTTTGCTCTGTCATCTGGCATTTGTTGTGGTCTTCCCAAATTTGCCTGAAGAGGGAGGGGAGAAAAAAAAAATAGAGCTGGCTGTACCAAGTTTTGCGAATAGATTTGTCTCGCGGCTCGTCTTCCCTTTGAACGCGGCGGCTGCTGAAAAGACGGATTTTTAAAGAAGGGTATTGCAGAACAGGGGGCATGCTATAAACAGAAGTGTGGGCGAGGCATTAGGGAAAATTGTCTGCACGAAGGGGAGCTGATGAAATTTCGAGCGCTGCCGAAACCTTCCTGGCCCGGGGGTGCCGCACCCGGTGCGGGACGCGGTTTCCGCGAAAAAGCAAAATTTGCAGAAAATCAGAGCACGAAGGAAGACGTAAAACACCTTACAACAAACTCGCCTAGATGTTGCGAGGGATAGAAATCCCATCTGGACAATAATAAAGAAGACTTTTACAGGGCAATGGCTTTGGGGGAGAGTGCATTCATTCGGCCAGGCTGGATGCGAAGTAGTTCCACTTATTTATATATTTCCTTCTGTTTATTGTTGGAGAAACCCGTGTTCTTGCCGGTCAGATGTTTTCGATATAATTACAGATCATTGTTCAGGTGAGATTTGATTTCTCCTTCAAAACTTTACAGTTACCCCCACTTCGTTCGTTATTAGTTCACCCCATTCCAGCTTCTTACATGCAAATTAAAAAAAAAAATCTTATCGCRAAGATGAGAGGAGATGAAACCTTTCAGAAGAGTGCAGTATTTTTAGAGGTGAAGGCTTTTTGTTTATGCATGTTTTAAAGCGGACGAAAATGTAGCCCTTGACTTATTTTTAAATATTTGGAAAGCTCGAACTAAAATAACAGCAGTGTTTTAAGTCACTGACTTGCAGTAATGGAAAATATTTCGAAAAGCCCCTGTCCTCAGTGTGTACTTAAATGTTTCCAAGTATTTGTCAGGTGTGTTTGCTGATGTCTCTGTATGCACGTTCGGCTGGAGGTAGCACCTGAGGGGGTGTGTGATTTCCTATCTGTACGTGGAATACTTGATGCACGTGGCAGAGTTTTATTCAAAAATGTGTATTTTAAACACGTATAGGTTTTTTCTTTTCTTTTCTTTTTTTCTTTTTTCTTTTTTCTTTCTTTTTTTTTTTTTTTTGTTCCAAATATCCCTTCCTGCTCTAGTCGTTCATGTGCATAGGAATGTAACTTACTCCTGAAAGTTCTCATCACCTTGATAAAACAAGGAAGAATCGAAGTTTTGGCGAAATAAAAGAGAATAAAAATATGAGCCTATTAGGGGACACACAGGCAGGTAAAAAAATAACCTCACCAGTCCCGTAGCTATGATTTTTCCCCTGATAAATCGCCCATCTTGCCTCAAATGGGAGCCAGGGTAAGGGAGCGATATCCAAAGGCAAGTGAACAGCCCCAGTGGCACCGCTAAGACCAAGTTGGGCTCTGCGAGKGTCTGGGTGTTTTTGGAGGCTCATCCGAGCGGGTGGCATCGGACTTCTGCCTAATGCCTCTCCCCCTGCCCTAGCTACCTCCGGAAACTTTCTCTTCTCGCTATTTATCTTTATTTATTTATTTTTAATAGGCGTATGTTCCCCAGTTACAAAGTGAAGGTCACTGGACTTAATCCAAAAACTAAGTACATACTGTTGATGGATATTGTACCAGCGGATGACCACCGATACAAATTTGCAGATAATAAATGGTACGCACGCATCGGGAAAGGGGCGGGAGAGAAGCTTTGGATCAGGCTTGCTCGGCTACCCAAACCTAGGCGAAAAAGCTGGAAAGATGCTTTAGAGTGGGCGGCTCACTCTCCTACTCGGAGCTTAGGCGCAGGCAGAGCTGCAGAGGCTTCTCCTGGACATCCCAAGATGGTTCCCGGCCACCAGGCAGATTCCTCTGGTGGGAAACACACAAAAATGGAGAGAACAAAATCTATGATGTTCAGCTAACGATGACCATAATCCTCTCTGACGATGAGATTATTGGCTGTTGTGGACCCAACAGTTTAATGATATCTCCCGGGAAAAAGAAATGTTTAGGGGTTGCTGCACGGTGCTTTCTTTGCTCCTAGGTGGATTTTCAGGATTTAGGAAGGGGGAAGGATGGGGTTAAACGGGGAAACAGAGGGAGCCATCTCCGACGGGAAATATGCCAAAAATCTCGATTAACTTCGCGAGTAGCGGCTGTGTGTGTGTAAATGTCGTTTTTTCCCCCAAACACGACGCGACCAGCCAGCATCGCCTTGTCTTTTACATATAGGGAACTTGGGCTATAGGGGACTATAGGCTTGGCGCAGAGCGGTGCACCCGAGGCCAGGGGTATGGGTGGCGAGGGAGGGTGGGGAGGGCTGGGTCGGGGGAAGGGGTGCCCGTGGGATGAAGCGCTGTATTGGGGTACCTGTGTGTGTGTGGGGGGGTACCCTGCTGCCAGCTCAGCCTTGCTGTGTCCTTTATACAGGTCGGTGACAGGGAAGGCAGAGCCGGCCATGCCCGGTCGCCTGTATGTCCATCCCGACTCCCCCGCTACCGGCGCCCACTGGATGAGGCAGCTGGTTTCTTTCCAAAAACTCAAGCTCACCAACAACCACCTCGACCCCTTCGGACATGTAAGTACCCGGGCGGRAAGGGGTCATGCTCGGGTGGGGTGGTGGTGGGGGACTAGTGGCCTCGAAAAGTGAGCGGCCCCAGTCAGCCGACCCTGCGCTCAGGGCTACTTAGTAAGGAGCAGAGAGTCCCTAAATTCAGTTATGCGTTTGTTTTGGGGGGAGAACCCCCTCAAAATGGGCAAACCTAATCCGTGGAGCCGCGCAGTGCCCAGCGCCGTGCCCGTGGAGGGCAGCGCGGAGCCCGGGGCCGCACTCCCTGCCCGGCCCGCGCCTGCTCGCGGCCTCTCCCGSTCGCTCGGGGCTCGTCTCGCACCCACACACGGCCCTGTCGCCCCCGTGTTTTGCCCCGAAGTACCTCATTTGCAAGGTCGCAGCAATGACACCCATTTGCCGAAACCTGTGGAGGCAGTGCGCTGCTAATTACCACCCTTTGAGGGTGGGATCAGTGAAGATCCTTCCTTCTCTCCCAAAAGCGAAGAACAAACCTTAAAAATGGGCCATTTCCCATCAATGCCTGGAAATTGATGAGAGAAAGCGAAGCCCGCAGTCTGAGAGCTGCCGAAACCCGCCAGGCTTAATKGACTCTTCAGCTACCTGGTTTAAACCTCCTGGGGAGTTTTGCCGCTTTAAAACCTGCTCTCTGCCTCGGTGAATTTGACTATCAGGTAAAAGAAACCAGGCATAATTATTCGAGGAAATGGGGCCCAGAAACCATGTGGATGTTTCACTCCAAAAGAAATGCACCAATAATTAAAAGACAATAAAATAGTGAAATCCCACTAGAGCTTCCTGCACGTAAAAAGACCTTTGCAAGACCCATGGGACCGCGAAAGCTTGTGCGAAGTCTGCTGCCAGAAACAGCCCTCCTTCGAAACACTCCAAAGATACGTGCTCCTCTGAGCAAAAATACACGTGTGTGTATGTATAATATATATCTATAAAATATATATATAATTACTTAAGCCAGTATGCGGGTCTAGACCTCCCCTTTCCAAGAACATGTTTTTCTCCAGTCTCATTTCAACACTTCAGTTAATTTTTTTCCAAGTTCTTTTTTTTT